ACCTAAATCTCCCCTCCCTCAACTTAAAACCATTTCCCCTCATCCTGCTGTTATCTACCCTTTCAAATAGTTGATTCCCCTCTCCTCTGTAGGCTCTCTTTAGGTATTGAAATGCTGCAATGAGGTCACCCCGCAGCCTTCTTTTCTCCAGGCTGAACAAGCCCAGCTCTTTCAGCCTGTCCTCGTAGGGGAGGTGCTCCAGTCCCCTGATCATCTTCGTGGCCATCCTCTGGACTCTCTCCAACAGCTCCCTGTCTTTTGTACTGGGGGCTCCACACTTGGACGCAGTATTCCAGATGGGGCCTCACAAGAGCAGAGTAGAGGTACAGAAGTACATTAGCTCCAGAGTTTGGTGCTTTGAGTAAATATTTCACACTCTCAGAAGGGAGCCATTGTTTTCCCGTGTGCAATAACCCTGATTCTGACTCTCCCTGCATTCTGCCACACTCTATACAAAAAATCATGCTGTTCATTGCCTTGTAATCACTAGAAATAAACCCTCCCTTTTTTCAGTTTTATAGTTTTCTTCTCCTTTCCTAACAGCCAGGCTGTGGAACCCACCAGGTGCGGCAGCTGCGGCAGTGAGTAATCCTCCTGAGCTGTGGGTCTGGCTGGGCTGTAACGGCATGCACCAGATTCCTGCTTTTATCACGGGCGTTTTGTTACTGCCTGACAGCGCTGAAATACAAGGCCTTTTATGTATGTAAAACAAGGAGTGGCAGAACAACTCTCCTGTTGTTTCCCAGCTGCGTAGCAACCCAGCCTGCTCTAAAGGTGCCTATAGACCTTGTTTTTCAGGGCACTGTGACTTATCTTTCTGGGAAAACTTACATAACAGACAACATTCAGGCAGGTACAAGCTATTGCTCAAGATCCTGCTGTGCAGCTGGTAGAAATATTAGCCTTTTTTTTTCTTTTTTAAGTCTATGAACATTAATAAGTGCTGTAAATATGAACTATAGTTGAGAAGAAGACTGCTGCGAAAAATTTCACTTGCACTGTGGAAACCATATCTTCTGGTCTTACTTATCAGATCCAGTGTCAGCTGCTATCATGCACCACTACTGTGAAGGATTTCAAGAACTGTAGATATGTGGCATTCCCTGGTTACAAGAAAGACAGTATCTTTGATCTTTTTTTTTTTTTCCTCATGTCACAATTCAGATACATGAGCTAATACTCTTAAGTTTACTGTGTATACCATTACAACTAATT